TCGAGAGCCTAACTGGAATAACGTAGCCATTGCGTTTCTCAAAAGTAAATTGTTTTTAGGTCTTGCTTGCTTGCTTGGTTGGTTGAGTTTTCGAGTTAAAAATTCAAAATCCCCGAGCTCTATAAATTGGATTGGTAAACAAAAGACTTGTCCAAACTTGTCAAACAATAAACTCATGGCGTCAATTGGTCGTCATGGCAACTTCACAATACCTACCCGTCATTTTATGGTAATTAGTAATAAAAATAATTAAATCCACCGCATATGAYACACGTAATGCGTGACGTATTAGARCATAATTAAATCCACCGCAAATATACTCGAATCCACCGCAAAATTAGTAAATCCACCGCAAAAATACGGATCGTGCGGTCCCTCCTATACTACTGTCAATAGTAATGCTTCCGTCTAATCCTGAGTTACAATCATATTCCATACTGCGTTTCGACTAAATCAATAAGCCCTCCCTCTCCAATAAGCCCTCCCTCAAACGTGCCTGAAATAAATAAGCCCCCCCGGGGGGCTAAATAGAGGATTTACGGTAGATGAAGATTATTACTGCTAAACTAGCCAAATTTGCGAGACCCTCAACCCTGAACAAAACTAAATGTGTCAGTGAAAAAAAAAATCCTAATTCATTAATAAAACATAGTTTCATTCATTTCATATTAGCCTTAACTATTCTTCGAGAAGCTTAAATGAAACTTAAGTTAATAGATTTTGAGCTTCCATTTTACCAGTCTTCATCTGTTTTCATTARTGAAAAAAATATGGAAATGACGAACGACAAATTAAAGTATTCGGAAAATAAATATTGCATGTTTAAGACTAAGGGGGATGAGAACCGCAAAATAAATAAGAAATTTCTAGGTCATTTGGCCTTTGTAAATTCCTTTTTATATTTATATTCAACAACGAAATAAATAATGATCTATAGAAGTATCAAAATTTCTGGGAAAAGTCTATGATTTGTTGATGGGAGACAAACAAAAACAATTTTTCTTTTTATAATAAAAGGTTCTTTGACCACTAACCATCTTGAAAGAGGAATGTTTAAGAGGGAGTCTCTGCAAGAACGGGCTAGGTCACGACTCCATAATAGATTTCTTTTATTTTCTTTTCTACTATCGAAACTGGAAGTTAAAATCGTTTTAAATTYTCTTTTTAGCTGCAAAAAGAATTTCTGTCTGATCCACCCCAAAATCAGTCAAAAGACACCGATTTTCAAAATCTGCAATGCCTAYTTTCAAAGTCCGTTTTCTCGGGGTTTTCTGCATAAATTAAAGCTTGATTCTTTTTATGAGAGTCAACGGTAAAAGTCAGCGATTTGATATCTTTTAGGGTGTTAAACTTGATATTTAGAATTTTGACATTTCATGTTAACGGAGGACGAGTATTCATCGAGTAACGCGCTTCGAGCAAGGGCACTAGGACACCGAATGTGGTTGGATATATATAGAGCCCTATATGGAACTTAAGGTGGATTTGATTAACCATATTAACTGGACGGTTGAATATTACTGACGTAAGGAGCATCACGCGGTCGCGTTGTTGTTGGTATAGTACAAACAGAGTCAAGTACGGAACGGCCGTTAAAGAAGTAACGCTCGTAGGCTATTCAAACCGTTTGACCTTTGGAATGAAAACGTCTGCACTACAACAGCGAACGAAGACAACGAAGGAACACGGACAAAAGATAAGTAAACAAGTATATAACGTTAATTTAATTCAAATAATCGAAAGGGGAAAAAACCTATAGAAATCCAAGCACATTCGGTGTCCTAGTGCCCTTGGTTTGTGGTTAAAAATCATTCAGCCACGCCCTTTTTTAAAAAACTTCCGGTATCTTTTAGGGGTCTTTTTAAAATCCCCGGTACTTTTTTCCCGGAGTCCCCCCCCACCAGGAGAAAACTCTTCCTGCAGACGGGTTACGCATGACAACGTCGAATTTGGGTGTGGTCAAGCACGTAAATCGATACGCATAAACTTGCAGCGCTTAACTCAATGAATACCCGATCCCGTCCTCAAYACAGGTAGCCCAAGCTTGGTTTCTGTGGTGTCCTGTTATAAGGAAATGTATGGGGATTCATCAAAAAAGTCAATAAAATCATTGAAACGTGAAATAAAGCCCCGAAATTTTACCCGATCATTGATAAAGAACACTTCTTTCGCTCTGCGTGGTTATTTTTTGAATTTTGAATAAGAGACTTCTCTTATTTCTTAGTGGTGGGGAAAAAAATCTTAAAACGGGCTAAATTCAAAAWATAACCACGCAGAGCGAAAGAAGTGTTCTTTATCAATGATCGGGTAAAATTTCGGGGCTTTATTTCACGTTTCAATGATTTTATTGACTTTTTTGATGAATCCCCATACATTTCCTTATAACAGGACACCACAGAAACCAAGCTTGGGCWACCTGTGGTCCTCAAATAAAGTTGTATAATTAGTGACTGACAGGCAAAGTTAAACAAAAGAAAACAATGGAATTGGTGTCGACTACTATATGCATTACGTCGATTATCTTTCACGGGCGAAGTAAAATCAATTATCTGTTCACAAGGCAATTGATTTGGCGCGTTTGACTAATAACAGCGAAACGCGAGAAACGCTAAGGAAAAGAAATTAAAATACATAAAAARGACCAAGAAAAGATTGGATAAGAAGGAATAAATACACGAATGAACGAACTTGAGCGAATTACACGATGAAACGAGTGGATGAATACTGAAATACGTRGGCTAACAAAAAACAAATGCAGAGATAATCTTCAACTTATTAGATACTGTTTGATACTGTTTAAAGTATCTATACTAGTTCAATGTTAACTCATAATTTCATTCAATATCATTGAAATTATATGGCCTGATTTACAGGAATATTTAAAATATATAATATGATGGATTTAATTCCAGTTTGTTTGTTTAATTGAATACGGGAAAAAAGCATACATAACTAAGGTTTTCTTCTGCTTTAGTCTCCCTACCTTTTATTGATCTAGCTCAGTTTTCTGTCTTTATGTCACTACGTTATTAAGCTTTCAAGCCCGTCTCAGCACCAAAAAACAGAATTGCATATGTAACATGTAACATAACCTGACCACATCAATTTGTAGAAGCCTCACACTGAGTCAACACTGCGCTTTGTCCACCTTACTCGAAGTTTGTTTTAGTAAGACCAAAAACAGAATTAGATATGTGATTTCGATCTAACTGATTTATTATGCATTATATAAGAAAACCTTTGGGAAGTACATCATTTGATTTTKGGTGTAGTGGAGGTAAAAATCTGAATGTAATGAATAATGCCAATATATATAACGTGGATACATACAATGAGCAAACTAACGACCAAAGTATTCATCTTATTAACATAAARGCAGTGGGACTATAATCCAACTCCTGCGTAAAATACAAGGAAGTAAAGGTACACACAGATGCTGTTCTAGTATTATAACTTACATTAAGATAATTAGATAGTACCAACAAACTCTTGAAGTGATCAGTAGAGTGCTAACTAGTGAACAGCGCACGACAACTACCTTTTAGTCGTAAGTCAACAGAAGGTAAATACTTCCGGTGGAATRCATTATCGATACGGCAAAGGAGAGGGATTGGTTTACCAAGTGTTTATTTTAAATTCATCTGTCATATTAGAAAATGAAGGTGTTCGGCGATATAAATTCCAGTGACCACACTTCTTGATCTTACTTGCACTGCTTCTGTGTATGTGGATAGGCTGACTTTTCCTTCCATCATCATTACACAATCTCGCGTGAATTTAAATCTACAAATCAATTCTTCTCCTGGCAGAAAATAGGAAAATAAGGGTCAARACTAATTCAATCACCGTTTGCTTTCGTTGGAACAATAAGAAAAGAATRCAAGCTGTTTGCCTTTGTGGTTTGGACGGTATAAACTGACTTCCACTCATTAATTATTAAGGTAWCATGGCCAAAATCCAATGTCTGTCAGTTTTTCCTATTAATTTTGATTTACCTTCGTCGCGGTTGATTCTATTTTACGCTATAGCTTAATGTTTTTTTCAAGTTTGGCATTTTTGTGTAATTTATTAATGCGTTGCTGAATAACAATACCTCAATGTTGTGAAATAACCCACGCTTTGATTGAAATGAATGGTGGCCTACGCGTCCCATACGACTTTTCTTTCTTAGATTATAACAACATGGGTGACTGTGAATTCACCTAACATTTAATATAAATCCGTTTTTGTTTCAGATTCCTGTTAAATAGTCCAACCAAACTTCAGTCAGTGTGTGTTGAGATTGTGGTCAAGTTATTTTGAACACCGAATGATGAATTACACAAACTCAACGCGTAATCAGGCGCCAAGCACCTATCTACAGACCCCACTATGGTACTGGGTATTAAGCTTAYTTATCGTTACATTAACGATTGCTGGTAATGGTATGGTGATATTCGTGATCATTACGCGTAGATGCCTTCACATCACAAATAACTATTTCATACTCTCGTTAGCTACAGCTGATATCAGCACAGGTATCTTCGTTATACCCTCCATGTATCTCTGCGAACAGCTCAAAACTTGTAACTTCCAGATAGCTTATTTATTCATCAACACTATATTTTTTGCATCGGTGGCAAATGTCTGCAGTATGACTTTTGACCGATATATATCTATTGTGATTCCACTCAAATACTTTGTGTATATGACCAACAAGCGTGTGATGATCATTGTCTGTCTGTCTTGGTTTATCCCGTTCATTGCTAACGTCATCCCACTGACCTACTCCAATGCTGATCCACCAATCAAGCTCAAGGCCAAGCGTTTTTACGATCCCATTCAGATTGTTGTGTTTGTTGTCCTACCCATAGTTCTGATGCTCGTAGTTTATGCCCGCATCTATGTCATTGCCAACAAGATAGCACGTCAAACTAACCAAACTCAGAACCAGCTCCGCTACAACGACTCAAATGCAAATAATTCGCCAGAAAGAAACAAGAAAGAACGACGTGAAAGACGCAACAGAGAAGGGTCCGTAGCAGTTATTGGCTCGGTGATCATACTCTTCGCCCTGTGCTGGGCATTGGCTGTCTATAACTCCATGTGTGATGTATTCAATCTTTGCAAGACGTCCTTCGAGTCCAGAATAGCCGCACGATTGCTGATTCATCTCAACTCAACTATCAATCCCATAGTATATGCAGTCTTAAAGAAAGATATYAGACGTGAGCTGAGAAAGGCTTTACATGGTTGCAGGCAATCGTCGGGAGAAAGATTTGATAAGAATAACTCTTCCTATTCATTTTCAACGTCGACTAAACTAGATATGACCATTGCAGCAGATGCATTATCAAGCAAGACTTAGTAAAGCTAAGGTAGTTAGTACACACCATATATCTGTAATTAATTAGTACAAMATAGAAAACAATGAAACGATGGAAAGTGCTATTTAGTTTTTGTGCTATTTCACGGATATATGGTTTGCACTCTAATGACTCTRATTTTTGAAGCATTCAAGAATATCGTTACACCTACGCCCGAGTTAGTTCATAAAAGGGGGACTAGCCACAGATAGCCCAAGCTTGGTTTCTGTGGTGTCACGTATAAKGAAATGTATGGAGATTCATCAAAAATTTCAATAAAATCATTGAAACGTGAAATAAAGCCTCAACATTTTACCCGATCATTGAGAAATAGCACTTCTTTCGCTCTGCGTGGTTATTCTTTGAATTTAGCCCGTTTTAAGGATCCCCCCACCAGTAAGAAATATTTCTTGGGCTACCTGTGGACTAGAACGATAATCATCCAAATTTTAATTCAGCTAAAACTTTACTGGAATAACCCTTAAAGGTCTAATAATCACTGGTTAAAGTTTTTTCCTGATATTCGGATGGGAAGTATTATATTTTAACGAATTTTTGTGTCTCATGTATATTATAAGCAGTAGACACTAAGGCATCGATTTTTATTAGGACTTTATTAGTAAAATTTCGACTGAATTAAAACTTTGATGATTTTCGTGCTAATGAACGCGATTTAACTTATTATATTGTCTTTTATTCTTGTTGTAGAGCTCAGGCCGGATGCATATCATCAATAGAAAAAACTTCACCAACTTTCTTTAAAATAGCTGTATATGTAATTCATAAACAATATTGTTTGTTCCAAAGTACTGAGATGACAATTACTGCGATAAGCGATTCCAAGTTCACATTAGTTCAGGAATAGGTGGAATGATTTGTGTTTCTTATTATTCTGTTCGACTACAGCGTTACAGTTAGTTAAAATAGAGMTGCTTGCAGTCAACCAAGCCAATTTTAAAGCCTTTAGATGCTTGCTCATCATCCCTTCCACTGATATTGTTATAATCTGAACTTTATCGTTGACCGCCCATCGATGACCTTAGGCTCCAACAGCCTTGTTTTGAATGACGTTTACACCAGTAAAGGGGCTGAAGAATGGGGGCTTGGGTTCAGAATAGACCCTTATTTGGTATATATTTAGTATACAGTGGTTGGCAATTATAAAAATTGTAGGAAGAGGGTTAGGCGTGACTGATCTAAACTAGCATGAGAGGTCTAATTAAAAGAAAAATATCCAGGAAAGAAGCTGAATGGAAAGGAAGGGAGCGTTGCGTGACGACCGACACCAAAAACGGATGCGAGGGAGACTACAGGGAGTGTGACAGGTAAAAAAAGTAGGAAGGAAATGGCAGCGGAAGTGAAGGATTAGAGGTGGGTATGTATGCCGTATAGTCTACTGAAGCGGAACGTGGGCAAGGGTGGTGCAAACCCCCTTCGCCTTACCCCCTATTAGGAATAACCTTTGAGAAAATTGGGTGGATTTTAAACACGACAACACGKAGCAATCTTAATTCACATTGTAAGTAAGAAAGGGATATAGAAACACATTCCACACCCCCAGAAATGATTTTAAAAACAACCCATGTCATTATTTGCTTAATCATTTGTATTAAATTAAAACAGGCGAATGATTGCTCTTTATTAGAGTGTTTTAAAATAAAAAATAAAAAAGCCGTTTCATCTATTTACTAGAAAGTCGTTGAAAGCCCAGAACGGGCGTTTGG